GTGCTTCCGAGCTTTTCAGTTCACGCTTCATTTGCTATATACACGACGAATTCCCATTTGAGGATCTTAAACACCTGTATGGGGTCCCCTCTTCGCCTCCGCCTCTCCGTTGAAAAGAGATACAGTACCTCCAGTCTCCTTTAATACGACAGCTTTCTTATCCCCCCAGACCATCTTGTAAAAAGTCTCCGAACAATCTCCTTCACCAGGAACGGGCTGCACGCCTGAACGCAAAGGCTTTGTAGAGTGGCATGTGAGCCTCCGGCCTCCTGGGCCCCATTTTCCGTCGAAGCTGCTGCAGAGCTCCAGATGCCGGATTAGTGGATTTACGCTGTTCATGAAGACTATTCGCAACACTTATGAACAACCGTTCCAGCTGTATACTCAGATATGACAGTAAGATAATATCGAGTCCTCATGAGATACTTTGTCTAGAACACATGGTACCTTTAAACCGCAGTATTACTTTTCAGCATACGTTGTTCTCGAAAGCACATCTTAAATACGAGATGAATCAAGGCCGCCGACTCATAATGTGACCTAATTATGAGTGTTCGAAAACTAGATACGAGCCATGGATCGAACGAAACTACCTGTCATGTAGACCTCCCTGTGATATGTTTTTTTTGTTCACCACCACAAGCTTTGGTCACTTTCTGACAAACTTATCATGATTCTCGCCTTGACCTCGAAATTCCACTGAAGTTACCATCTGGAATAAGTTATTTTTTCTGAACGACTGTTTTATAATCCATATCGTATCCGTTATGATGTAGAACATTGAAATTTGCCTATCCGCCAGCTTGTAGATGAACAACAAATCAATCGATTCCCTAATCGTGTTTTGTTGTTCGTTTGTCCTGCATATCATTTGAACGTGGTGGCCTGTTTAATTATGGATGGCACCATACGCGTGTATGTATCGGTTTGAGGTGTTCTGTATGCGCATGCGTTTCTCCAAATAACCGTACCCACCCACTTGTAGGACGATTGATTACATCTGAGATTCATTTAAGTATTGCACAATGTTATTGTCCCTGATGAAGTGCCAAGTTTTTTTGCCGATCGATACGCATGTGCTTTGTTCGGAACATTTCCAACGTGTTCCGACGAGCCATCAAATGCGATTCCAAGTGTTAGATGTTGAATGTTCTTTCGT